TTCTTCAAACCGAACAGCATTGAGACGTAGCAGAACAATTCGAAGGGGGTGATGAAAGATGTCATGAGCTGGTTGGACTCTTTCATCATGATTTGATGGTACCCAGAGTACGCATCAAGGAAGTAGAGGGTTTCGCACCCCGAGGTAGAGTCGACTATTTGGTCTATGCGCGGCAAAGGAAACGGATCCTTTGGGCATGCCTTGTTGAGACCCGTATAGTCAACACACATCCTCCATTTCTCGCTCTTCTTTCATACAAGGATGGGGTTGGCTAACCACTCTAGGTGGTATACTTCTTTGATAAATCCGGCCACCAAAAGCTTTGCTATCTCCTCGTCGATGGCCCTTGCTTCTCCTCGTCGAAGCGGCGCAGTCGTTGTTTCACCGGCTTGGAGCCTGGTCGAATCCTCAAGGTATGCTCGGCGACTTCCCTCGGGATGCCTGGCATCTCCGAGGGTTTCCACATGAAGACGTCTCTGTTAGCGCGGAGGAAGCCGATGAGCGCGCTTTCCTATTCGGACTAAAGCATGGTACCAATGCACACCGTTTTACCCTCGGCGCTCCCAGGGTCTACGATGACTTCTTTAGAGCTTTCTGTAGGCTCGAACGACCTGGTCAACTTCTTGGTGTCGGGCGCCTCTTGGTGACCTCCTCCCTGAGGGCGGCGAGCTCTCCGAAGGCGACGATTGATGCGGCGTGACCGCATCACTCGACCTCGCACTCATAGACGCGTTGGAAGGAGGTGCCGATGGTGATGACCCCATGGGGGCCCAGTATTTTTAGCTTGAGGTATGTATAGTTGGGGACGACCATGAACTTCGCGTACCATGGATGTCCCAGAATGGCGTGGAAGGTTCCAGGGAACCCAACCACCTCAAAGGTGAGGGTTTTAGTCCTATAATTGAACTGATCCTAAAAGGTAACGGGCAGATCAATCTACCCAAGTGGCATGGCCTGCTTCCCTAGCACGATGTCGTGGAAAGGTGCTCGGGTTGAGTGAGGACGTGTCCGGTCGATGCCCATTTCGTCGAGCGTCTTGGCGTACATTATGTCGAGGCCGCTGCCTCCATCCATCAGTACTTTGGTGAGCCGCTTTGGGCCGACGATCGAGTCAACCACGAGCGGATATCTCCCCAGATGTGGGACGCTCTCCGAATGGTCGGTCCGATCGAAGGTTATGGCAGACTCTGACCACCAGAGGTAGGGAGGTGTGGTCGGTTCGGCCGTATAGATCTCGTGGCACGCGACCTTCTGACGGTGCTTGGAGTCATAGGCTGTTGATCCTCTGAAGATCATCAGGTAGCCATCCAGCGTCGAAAAGCCATCGTCCTTCTCCTCGGTGTCGTCCGCGGTGGGGGCAGGGTCCTTTCTGTGCTCACCTTTGTTAGAGCCTCTGGACAAGAACCGCCGCATGAGGCTACAGTCCTTGAGCAGATGCTTAATCGGGAAGGCATGGTTTGGGCACGGCCCCTCGAGTAGTTTTTCAAAGTGGTTCGGAGTGCCCTCCGTGGGCTTCTATCCACCCTTGCAGTCAGCAGCGGCCACGAGCGAGTCCTCACGCCGTTGCTTCTTGTTCTTCCTTTTGGCAGAACGATTGGAGGAGCCTTCGCCAGCGCCCTTATCCCACCTTGCCTTGCCCTCGAGACGATCGAAGATTGCTCCGATCGCCTCTTCTCCTGAGGCATAGCTGGTGGCGATGTCTAGGAGTTCCTTGGTGGTTCACGGGCCCTTGCGTCCCAGCTTATGAACCAAAGACTCACAGGTAGCCCTGGACAGGAAGGCTTCTATAACATCGATGTCGGCGATGTTAGGGAGCTCGTTGTACTACTGAGAGAAGCGTCAGATGTGCCCACAGAGGGTCTCACCAGCCTTCTGATGGTAGTTCTTGAGGTCCCATGGGTTCCTAGGGCACTTGTATGTGCCCTAGAAGTTCCCCACAAAGATATCCTTCAGATCCGCCCAACTCTGGATCGCGTTGGATGGCAGGTGTTCCAACCACGCTCGTGCCGAATCGGCTAAGAACAGTGAAAGGTTGCGAATAATGAAGTCGTCATTATCCGCACCACCAGCTTGGTAGGCAAGCCGATAGTCTTTGAGCCATAATCCAGGGTTTGTTTCCCCAGAGTACTTTAGGATATTGGTTGGTGGCCGGTACCTTGGCGGGAAGGCAGCGTTGAGGATGTGCCGGCCGAAGGCCTGAGGGCTCGGGAAGCCAGGGCTCGGGCTCCAATCCTCGCCGCTGTCGTAGCGTCTGCCACGACGAGGATGATAGCCGCGGTGGGCTCCTCTCTCGGATCGCCACAAGTACGTCTGCGGGCATCGAGGGTGCTGCGTGCATCGTGGTTGCGGCTGAGAAGCTGATGTACTGGGACCACGGGTGCGCTGCCTGCCACCTTATGGTGCCTGGTGGACTGACGCGTCCCTGGCAGGGCACGCCGAGGGTGTGCGCTGGCTGGTGTCGAGCTCACGCGTCGTTGAGACAACGAGCTCTCTACTTGCTGCGCTGCCGCACGCTCGAGCAGTGTGCGAATCTCATGGTGGGCCTAAGGATCCTCAGGTGTCGTGGCCTCTGGAAGGCCAAGGAGCAAGGCCGTCACGGCGGTAATGTTCTGGCTCGCCTGGGCAAAGCGAGGAAGGGTTTCATCGTCGGCGATGATCCTTCAGTTTACATCATGGGCCACGACGCGTGCGCGCCCACCGTCTCCATGGCGCTTGATCTCTCGATCGAGCTCCGCGCATTCCTACACAAGCTAGAGCCATGCTTCCTCGATCTCCCGCTGTCAGGCTTTCAGCTGCTCCACCCCATGCGAGGTGGGGTCATTGTCTCCCCTTTGGTTTCATCACCGAGGTTGCCTCCTCCGTGGAGACGCTTTCGACGTGTCCCTCGGGGGTACCCATCATGAAGCATTCTCAGGAGGGGTGATGGCTCCCCCAGCTGGAGTCAGAGCCAGAGGATGACCCCGGCTCCTCTGTGAGGAGGTTGTGGAGAGATTTCGTGACGTGTTAGATCACCCCCATGAACTCGTTGTTCGCGGGTGGCAGGACCATGCGTCGTGCCACAAGGTGGCTAACGGTCGCCGCAGCGTTGTGGAGACCGGCAGAAGCGCTGTTAGGGCGCTCCGTATGTGGTGTTCCGGAGAGAGGGACCCTCCTCCAAAAAACCATGCCACGTCGTTGGCGTCGAAAAGGGTGAGGCGGCGCTGGTCCTCCCTGGACTGCTGGGGTCCAAGGGAGACACCGAACTGGTGCTCAAGTCTCTCGTGGTTGAGACCGATGGAGGGGAGAGATTGGATGGCGGTGTGGGCCAATGCCAACTCTTCTCCCACCGTGATGATGAAATCTAGGTTCCCAAAGCGCACGTGTGCGCCTGGGACCCAACTGATGTTGTGGCTAGCCATCCATGGCCTGATGTTTAACGTCGAAAAGCACAAAGGTCCCCTACCTGGCATGCCAACTGTCGGTGTTTTGAATAAACATCAACAAGTAAATTTATATTTGTTGCGCGTTGGGTCCGGATGGTGTGCTAAAAGACACAAGGTTTAGACTGGTTCAGACAGAATGTCCCTATATCTAGTTTGCTGTTGTTGCTTGTATTATTAGCACTGAAAGGTTCGTAGTAGGGGGTACAAATGGTCAGAGAGGAATAGGTCCGAAGTCTCTGATGGAAAGGTCGAAATGATGCCAAGAGCTCGGTTGCTGCTCAGTTGTGCGTTGTGTCTTGAATTGATCCGTCCTTTTAGTGGGGTGTCCTGCCCTCCCTTTTATAGACCAAGAGGGAGCAGGGATTACAGATGGGAGAAAGATGAAAAATCAGAGGTAGAGAAGGTCCTTTGAAGGTGTCGGGTCTTCCTTTTCCCTTGAGTCTGCTCTGCTGACATGGCAGACGGTGCCAGGGATAGCACGTTCGCTGATCCTAATAGGGCCATGCTATGGCTTCGTTCAGCAAGTGGTCACGTCCCATCCTACTCCGGCGGACGGTGAGGCGTGCTAGGGTGCCGAGCCATGACCCTACGGGGAGCAGACGGGGAAGTGACCATACGTCCGTTACTGTAGATGATGTGAGTTTCCTCCTGGATTGTAGTGGTTGTCGTATGCTTATGTCAGGATCCATGTCTGAGGGCTGATGGCGGCGCCCACAACACTGTAAGACAAAAGTCGACGCCTACAACACTGTTCGGGCTCTGTCATGCCTGGAAGGGCTTAAAGCGCCCGTCCCGTCATACCCTGACGGTACTTGCCCACATGCGTGCAGGGTATGATCCTCGGTACTGCGGTTGACTTGAGTGTCCTGTCTTACCCTGTACTCGTCATTATGAAGGAGAAGGGTGCAGACGTTGGGCGAGGCGGAGCCAGCCCTGGGACGTCGGGCGAGACGGAGCCAGCCCTCAGACGTCGGGCGAGGCGGAGCCAGCCCCCGGTCGTCGGGTGAGGCGGGGCCAGCCCTCAGACGTCGGGCGAGACGGAGCCAGCCCTCGGACGTCAGACGAGGTGGAGCCTGCCCCCAGACGTCGGGTGAGGCGGAGTCCAGCCCTCGGGGGTCGGGCGAGGCGGAGCCAACCCTCAGGGGCCGGGCGAGGCGCGGCCAACCTTCGGTCGTATGAGCAAGAAGTGTAGTTGCGTTTTTGTGTCTGTTCGAAAACATCAACGTTTGATGGTTATTAGCTCCACCTCTTTAGTTACCCAAATATTTAGTCCCCGACAGGCTTGATCTCTACGTTGGTTGATCGCGTCAGCCCTTGCAAGTCTTTTCCTTAATGACTGTTGGGCCGATAGCTTGGTGGTGTGCAGTGGCCCGTACGATGGGCAGCCGATCAGATGGCGAATGTGCGAGCACTTAAAGAGTACGACAAAAGTGAACAGGGTAACAGTACAGTATCGTGACTTCGGTACACGCGTGTATTGATTGGGCACTTATTAAAGAGAGTACGACAAAAGTGAACAGGGTAATAGTACAGTACCGTGACTTCCGTACTTCTACGCGTGTATTGATTTTTATAGATTTAGCGTCTGCATTTGGAGAGCATGGAGGGTGCAGCGTATGGTCCGTCCAGGACGCCACGCGCCACGAACTGGTACGCAGCTTCAGTGAGATGGATCCCGTCCCAGGAGATGTGCCTGGACGGGTCAGGGCAGAGAATCGACGTGGCGCTGCAGGCGATGAGCTTGCCAGAGTTGTGGGGCCCGCCGTCGCCGCAGCACGCGGTCAAAGCAACGTCCTTCCTGAACCCTGCGTTGGCATGCGCGAATAGCGCGATTGTATTGTAACTCGGAGCATGCAGCAGTTGCAGTTCAAGACTTGAAACGGCGACGACGATCCTCCATGCATACCGTGTTTCTGGGGGCTGCGGGTGATCTCCAGGATGGCGCCGTAGTAGTCGGCGTAGACGACGACGGCGACCGTGGGATCCCGGGGACGGATGTGGTCCAGCATGTGCCTGAGCGCGCGGTTGTGCTCCTCGGCGAAGTCGTTGAGCCACCTGATGCAGCCGGCGGCGTCGTAGTCGCCGGGGTCGTTGCTCTGGAAGATGGTGAGGTACCTCGGGACGCAGCCCATGGGGATGACTCCGGGGACCACGATCGTCTTTGCTCCAAGCCCGATCAACACCTGCTTATCGTTGTATATATACATATTTACATGGAGATACATTACGACTGCATGAACATAGATAGTTTTTGCTCCGTTCAAGTGCATACCTTGGTAGCGTTTTCAATCTTTTTGATGACCTTTGGGAGCAAGGGCCTGATCTGGGCCGTGAAGGATCGGTTCTGGAAGAAAGGGTGGTTGTAGTCGTTAATCCCAATCTCCCCCAACAGGAAAAGAGAGCTCGACATGATGTCCTGCCGCTCTGCATACATGCATGCATGTCACTTAGCTTGATGAATAATTGTCCAAAGCTTTCTTCCTGTACATATATGCATGGAGTGGAGGAGCACCTGGCCCGGTTGGGGCGAGCATGTGGAGCACGCGCTTGAGCCACTCCAGCTGCACGTCCAGCGAGTAGGGTGGCAGGATGGTGAGGTCCAGCCCCATGTCCCTGAACAGCTGCTGGCTCAGCGCCGTCGCGCCGGACACCGCCAGGTTGGCTCCCGCCCGGAAGTCCTCCGCCGTCTTCCCGAGGAGGAACGGTGTCGAGAGCGGCAGCTTCAACGCCTCCGCTGCAAGCAAGTGCACGTACAGGACGCATGTCATCAACCGCATCGAACCAACCAACAACTACCAGTGCTGGAAATATATTACCCTACCAATGAAGTCGACGATGAGCCGGCCGTCGCAGAACCGGCCAGTGGGGCGGCGGAAGAAGGTCTCTCCGTAGGGGAACGCCAACACGGATCTGTTGGGGGACAAGCTGGCAAAGTTGCCGGTGTCGGTCAACGAATCGCCCAAGCTGAACAGGCGCGTGTAGCGGCAAGTGCCGGCCGGGTACGACACGGCGGCGTACGGGCACACCACGAGGAGGAGAAGGGGGAGGACAACCATTAGGGAAGACGCCATCGATGTCTGCTGATCTTCGTCCTAGCTAGCTAGCTACGTCTCAGCAATGGCAACTTATTAGAGGTTGCACGCATTCACGGTTGAAATGTTGCCTTTGCCTGTGTTAAGCACTTGTGAGCTTCATACATACGGTTGAAATGTCGAAATAAATCTCGATAGATAATATGCAACACTATAGTAGTAGAAAAATAGTAATATATTGAAGTTGACCCAAGGCTAGCCATCTTGTCAAATCTGCAGTCGTAAGCCACGCTGAAAAATATTGTTCGCTGATTTATTGTGATAGAAAAACATTATTTATTTACTTAAAAAAAAGTACAGCTGATAAACTAAACGAACGTGGCCATGTCGCGCAAGCAAGATCAGCACGTGATTTTCTTGGGAAGATTGCGGTTGGTTAGTCTTGTCATCCTCGAGCACGACCGAATTGATCACGAGACTAAATTCCAGAAAAAACCACAGCAACGCGCCGCCGGCCTATATATATATATGCAATTACCACCATAAAGTCCGTAAGACACGGCTAGATTCATGGCATGGAGGTGGTTGGGGCGAGCGACGGCGACCGGCGCGGCGGCGCTCTGCCAATGGAGGACGCCACCAATTTGACTTTGGATCATTCGACACACCCATATAGTAGCAGCTGCGGCTGCTGTCCTCTCACTAAATTACTCTCTCTGTCCAGAAAAAAAAAATGTAACAATAGGTTACGTACTAGCAAAAGTGATTCACGTTTTATCAAATTTCTAGTGAATACTATTCATATTTACAGCTCTAAAATAATTTATTATAAAAATACATTTTATAATTAATCTAATAATAATTATTTGATATCATAAATATTGATACTTTCTTATCTATAATTAACCGAATTTAGGATACTAAATCACGACACTAGAATTGCATTTACTTAGGAGGGAGTACTTGTAAGCAGCGGCTGATGGCAGTTGGCAGCTGGCAGCAGCTGCAGCGAACGGGCGTTTACCAGCACAGGTTGAATGACAAAGTCCAAGAAATTCCCTATAAAAACCACCCAAATATGACTAAGGAATTTTATAATCAAGTAGTATTTGTTTCTTTTTTTTTTTGGTAGGAACGAGTTCGATTTCGTTTTGCAGATTCGTGCTCAAACCGGCTAGATTTTCTTCCCCTACAACGGGACGATGTCCTCTAGCTATGTCACGTCGAAAATGAAGCACCAAACATGCAATTGTATTCAGGCATTGTTTAGATGATGGTTGGAAATCAGTATTTTACACTGTAGCACTTTCGTTTGTATTTAACAATTATTATCCAATCCTGACCTAACTAGGCTCAAAAAATTCGTCTCGTAATTTACAATCAAACTGTGTAATTAGTTATTTTTTTATCTATATTTAATACTCCATGTGTGTCCAAAGATTTGATGAGATAAGAGAGAGTGAAAAAACTTGGAATCTAAACAAGGCCTCAGTTTAAATGTTTAAATGATGATGTCCAGAAATGAGGCAATGTCATCGAATTCTCACAAGGGTCGGGTTCTCGCTTGTCCCCCACACACAACAAAGAGAGAAGTCGTGGCTACACTCCTGCATCCCTACTTTCAAACTCCAGCCTTGAGAGTTGACATTTTGACGCTCCAGAGCTACCCCTCAAGCTTCCCCAGTATGTCGTGCTCTCTGAAAAGAAGGTACCTGACATTTCAAGTAACCAGGTTAGACCACCAACACACCCAAAAAAAAATGACTATCAAACCTGAAAGAACTATGGCACTATGTTTGTACATGTTCAAATTGACATTACCTTTAGCTAATAATTTTTGTAATAATTAGAACCAGGTTTAGTTAAGAACTCATATGGCACAATATAATGTACTATATAGAAAAATAATGACAGAACTCCAGCTTGGTTGACAAAATACTCCTAAGAATACTAGAAAAAACAAAGTCCCCTTTCAGACTACTACCACAACTAGTTAGCAGGATACATAGAAAAGTGACATCCTAAATTCTTAAATGGTCAGCTACAAAGGAGGTGGTAGTAAATGGTTTCTAACCAGCTTAAACAAAACAACTCGATACCATGCTGTATTACCAGTAAAAACCCAGCTGGACGAACGTGAGCTGCTCGCTTCGCTGTTCACTAGGTGATAGTTCATCAAACTACTAAATCACCATCCAGAATGCCAGTTTAAACATATCATTTTAAAGGTATCGTTCTTGAATTCTATGATTTAGGTGTACAAAGCAACAGCAACAGGAAAGGGAGGGGAGAGAGAACATAGTGCCAAGTCAAAATGACATGCATATGTTAACATACTCTTTTTCAGCAAGCTTCACTTCTGTTCCACCATACTCCGGAAGCAGAACAGTGTCGCCTTCACTCAGAGATACAGGGATCAGCTTACCAACCCCATCACGATCACCAGGGCCAACAGCAATGACTTTAGCAGCGTTAAGCTGCATTCAAAAATAAAGTGATATGTTAGGCCTAAAAGAGACATGAAAACTAAAAAAAAACATGATAAAAAAACAGTCCACAAACAACTAAAGCTAAAAAGGAAACAACTTGATTCAATATATTTGAACTCACTCAACCTACATAAGCATGCATCGATATTGCAGCAAACTTTACAAGCAGTTCACACTGCAAGTATTAATCTAGAAGCTCCTACAACCTACGGCTCCATAAAACTCCATTAACAAGAGTACACTCGCATAGTTATCAAGGCAGTAAGGGCGTAAGGCGAGGTGTGACAACTGACTACTGCCTCGCGCTTAAGTGGCTGTGGCATGATGTGAGGCGACACCGCACCACTCAAAGGAAAATGCAAAATAGCAGGATAGAGCCGTGGAGGATGGAGAAAAAGAAATGGGCAGTAAAAAGTGGGCTAACCCAGCCCACCAGGCAGAGGCAGCCCATGTGCTCCTCCCACCTGGCATGAACCTGCATATTAAGTCCCCATCCCCTCTCTCAAGCGCCGTTGCTCCCCTCTCTCGCCTCCAGCGCCGTCACTCCCATCTCTCTTGTCTCCAGCGCCATTGCACCTCTGCCCCTCTCGCTCACGCTTGCCTCTCTCCTCTCTGCTGCTTCCTCTTCTTTCCCAAACCACTCTGCACCCCCTCTGATCGACTGCTGACGACATCCCCTTCTAAATCAAGAGGTTGACAAGCAGGAGACAGCAAAATCAAGCTAACAGCAGCAGAATCAGCAAGAAGCAAAATCAGATGGGCCAGCAGCAGAATCGAGGGGAGATGCGGAATCAAGCGGAATTGAGGGGAAGACGACAGAATGGTGCGGTGACCGCATACACCTAAAGCAGCGGGACGTCACCAGTGGCCTCTGGCAACCCTAGACCGCTCGACGATTAAGCAACGCTTTAATAACCAAGTACACTCCCGCTACCATGTAATTGATGCCCAAATCGTTTAAGTTAGCCTTGATAGCGGAACAAAAGTTCAGCACTAGAAGCTTCAATACCAGTATACCACAGTTCATAAGATTTGATTTTGAAACTGATTCACGAATTCAAGCTACCCGCAGACTTAAGGTATGATAATGGGAACAATCCAAGAGCATAAGTTTGGATATCGCAGAGTACCGTACTAATCTAGTAGTACTAGTAGCAACTAGCAAATGAATAAGTTTGGATATCGCAGAGTACCGTACTAATCTAGTAGTACTAGTAGCAACTAGCAAATGAAACTTCAAGGATACACGTGAGGAGCCACCAACTAGTTTACAGAATACTCGAACTTCTAGCAGGTACTCTTCTCATGAGAAGATTGTCAACGCTGAATATCAATGCCCAGCACAATATCAGCGACACAAACTTAAAACTTTTCCCCAAAAGAGAGACTGGATGAATTGGCTCAGTTTCCCCTCACTTGCACCCGATCTCGAATACCGAACCAGATCTACAATACCAAACCCCCACGCCACGATGGCCACTGATGTACATGTACAATACAAACCAAGCTGGGGGGAGGGGGCAGCAAAAGGAGGAACAGAGCGAGATCTATGTATCCGTTACCTGCTTGGTGGTCTCCGGGAGGAGGATGCCACCGGCGCTCTTCTTGGGCTGCAGCAGCTTCTCCACCAGCACCCGGTTCAGCGAGGGGATCAGACGCTTCGCCATGGCCGCGAGGAGGTCTAGCGCTCGATTCTTCTTGGGGAGCAAAGTCGATGCGGGGTTGCGGTCGCTTTACTGTAGCCGCGGCTTGCAGGGTTTAGGGTTTATTTGGAGTGCGGCCGAGGGTAGGATGGGGAAACCGTCTCCAGGACGCCTAGAATGTTCGACCGAGCATAGAGGACAGAGCGTCCAAGGTCACACGTTGGGCTAACGGCCCAACGTGCAACTTAATGGGCCGGCCCATCCTGAAGATGTTCTTATCATGTGGGCTGCAAGTTGAGCTTTTCTTCCTTTTATTTTTCCTGCCTCCTGCCCTAATCAATTAATCATAAGTATATTTTCTCAAAAAAAATCATAAGTATATTCCCCTCAAAAAAATCATAAGTATACTGTATACGTGTTCATCTATACATGCTCTAATTCAAATTATTTTTATCTTTATTATAGGTATCGATAGGTAAACTATATATGTTGGTAACATGAGTTTAACATTCTTAGATTTATTATGAAACTGTACTTTCATAATATGTAACTCTTCTCGTTTAAGATATTGTATTTTTATGTATAGATATTATGTTGCGCAAGTTAAAGTATTATATATTCGCGATAGTGTAAAATGTCATAAAGGACACATATTTGTTAGAAGAGAAAGTATGATTTAGACACAATCATATATGTTTGCAATCTCGAAAACTTAGGATTTATAAAGATTTTGTAAGATAAATGAAAATGAATTCTTTGAGTATGCCAGGAATGAAGAACACTTGAGTATTCCGATCGGCATCTCTCTGAATCAGAATCAGAATCAGAATCAGAACAGAAGACATAGTCATGCAAATCAAACCAGGTAGCAGTATGCGACAGTTGGGCCAACTCAAACTTAGGATTTATCTGTCATGCCAAATCAAAAGTACAAAACAAATAAAAGCAACAATTCCATGGAAGATTCTATGCATGATTAGGTACCTATCTAAGAAAGAATTGGCAAAAAGAAAGGCAACAAGAACGAAAGAAAAGAATCTGAAGAGCTGGAGCGTGTAGCAGCACAGCGCTCGCTGAACAAGCCCTCCTATCTTCTGTTGTGGAGTGGATTAGGCCCAGTGATGACCTCCCTCTTCTCCTCCTCGCCAATCGCATCTCCACCTCCCTTTTTGACGCGCTCCATTAATCCATTCGCAGGCACCTCGCCATGACGACCCGCTAACATTCTTCTCCCTTGAAGCAACTTCACTGCAGCTCCTCCATGCTGATCACAAGAGCAAGAAGAAGATAAGCTCCCTGCTGCACTCTCTGCAGCCTGCAACATCAACACCAGAGATACAAGCAGCAGGACTACAGGGATGAGCTTGGGCTCCTTCCTCCTGCGCAGCACCATCCTCTGCTGTCTGTGGATCTCTTTAACCAGCTAGATAGCTAGCTAAGAGCGCATGAACGACGAGCTGATGATGATCAATGTGTCTAAGCAAGATAGTAACTGGTTCAGTTAGACGGGATGAGCTTGCTGTTGTGTAGCAGCTAGTGGATTAGGTGCGCTGAAACCCTGGGGGAGGAGACAAAGCTGAGCTGTAATTGTTGGCTTGCCATCGATCAGGTTCTGCCCGGCCGGCCTCATTGGAGACTGCACGAAATCAAATTGCGTGCTTGGTCAAGTTTTTTACTAGTAGTCAAAGCACGTAATTAAGAGCCATTGATTGATGCTGGCGAAGAGAGATTTTATAAACTATACGGTGGTCAGTAGTGCGTGCTTGATGTAGCAGTGTCAGTGTGTCACAGCTCGCAAGTACTAGTACAGTGTTAGAACCTTCCTTAAAATAAGCGTTAGCACTGTCTTTTGATCAGCAGCCATAAGGGGTTGATTGGTTCTTTAGTCGCTTCTAAAATTCATGTCACATCGAATATTTAGATATTAATAAGGAGCATTAAATATAGATTAATTACAAAACTAATTATACAGATGAAGGCTAATTTGTGAGATAATTTTTTAAGCCTAATTAATCTGTCATTAGCACATGTTTACTGTAGCACCACGTTGTCAAATCATGAACTAATTAGGCTTAAAAGATTCGTCTCGCAAATTAGTCGCAAGTTATGCAATTAGTTTCATAATTAGTCTATATTTAATACTTTATACATGTGTCAAACATTTGATGTGATAGAAATTTTAGTAGGCACTGCAGAAATCAAACAGGCCATGGTATCCAGATAGAACTTTTACTCCATTTCTTCACAAAGTGTCCAACGTTTGTTACTACTGAACTTTTTTGAGAAAATGTATCCCTGCATCCTCAGATATGCCTGAGTCTGTAAACGCTGAACAATAGACATGCAATCTGGCCTTTTAAAATTTTTAGACAGCTAAGTTCCCAGCAGGATGTGTTTGCATTCTGTACTACTCCCTCCGTCCCTAAATAAGTGTCGTTATGATATTCATGCCTGTAAAATTTTCTTAAGTTAGACTAGGTTTGTAAAAAATATTAACAATATTCCTTCATAAAAAAAATATTAACAACATTTGTATATCTAAATAAGTTTGTTATAAAAATCGATTCAACGATCTATCTAACGATAGTAATTATGTACTATAAGTATTAATATTTTTCTTGTATATATTTGATCAAAGTTAGAAGAGTTTAGGGGCGAGAATAACACTAATTTAGGGACAGAATAAGTCTCTAAGGTTGGGTTTCTCATACCGTTTGGTCTCTCTCTCATCCTCTCAGGACCATCTTGCCTTGCCTTGCATTGCCTTGCAAAATTGAGAATCCTTCCGTGCATTTCTAGGACCATGTACAAACGACGCGTGCATGACGCCTTTGCGTAGCGCGTGCACATGCTTTAGCTTTATAGATGGCGACGAGGATGTTGCTCGCTGTCAGCAAGGTAAAGGCGTCCTTCCTCTTCGAAGCTCTATGTTTTATTTGGCTTATAAGTTATGGTTTATCACCAACGAGAATATTGTTTGTTTGATCGTATTTGGCTTATAAGCCATAGCTTATTAGCCAACGAATAGTATTTTTCTCTCACACCAAACTAACCAACGATACTTTCAGTCATGGCTTATAAGCCAAACCAGCCAAACAAACGGGGCGATGAACGTACTTAACCTTGCTAAAATGCCAAACCGGCCAAACAAACGGGGCGATGAACGTACTAACTGCCGAGAGAAAACGCTTTTTCTAGAAATTTACCGTTTAGAGCAAGCGAGCATCTGTCGGGATTCAGCTGCATCGGTGGCGAGTTCTCACGCATGATTGATTGATGATGCATGGATTTGATGTGAATAAACTTTTTTCTCGGACTACGACAAAGTTAAGTGCCAATAAATTCAGGGAACGGAGTCAAGAGAACAAGTGGACAAATAAATACTCCTATTCTGAATTAGGGCATGAACAACCCAAGAACGGGCTCCATCTCTAAGCACTTCAATTCTGTTGTACAGACATGTATAAAGACAAGCCATACAACCTAATAGACGGGGCTCTGTCTCTAAGCTGATTAATGTTTTGCAGGTAGCTAGGATCAACTATAAATAAATTTTTGCATACCATTATGTGGCTATTTTCGCCTCGCCGAAATGCGTCTGCGTCTTGTGCAAGCCCCCACCACTACCATTGCCATGACCGCGTGCGGACCCCTCATCGATCGATTATCGCTCAATTGCGGCGGCACCCTTACCGCGACATGTTGGCCCCTCTCGCCACCTCCACTCGCCGCTTGTGATGTGGGCCCCACCGCCGTCACGTCACGTCACGGCGATGTAGGCCCCACCTCCGCCTCTCCTCTTCTCTCTATCTACGCAATGCGAGGAGCACCCATAAGCGGGAGCAAAGGCAAAGACGCACACGACACCGCAAGTACACGCGCACGCAAACACGCAAAGAGGACAGCATCCATCACCATCGCCGCGTAGTCCTCGCATGCGACCTTGCCCCAAACCCGAGTCCCCTCACCGCCTCTATCTCCCGCGTGCCCTTGGATTTGATAACGGTGGTCGGAATCGTTGTCTTGAGTGAAAGAACCGCCATGGCATGGCGACGAAGGCGGTGCTCGACGCCGCAGTCTTGTGTTCTCTCTTAAGCACACACGCATCTATCCTTTCTACATTTCAGCTTGCAACTTTGCTTTTCCAGCCTACAGCAGAAGAATGGACCCCACCATGGCTCAAAAATGCTCAAGATCTCACGCGGGCGCTCACGCCACGGGCGCCGTCACCATGGCCACCATCATCAGCGAGGGTCCAGCCGTGCCGCAGCTCGCCGAGGAGCACGCAACGCCACAACCGCTGATAGTTCCTTCCATCAAGGCCATCCAAAAACCATGTCGCGCATAACAGGGGCCGGATCTCGCAGCAACGACGTAAGTCGAGGGAGGCGGCCGCTCTCCTATTGAAACATCGCCGCTTGAGTCTCTTCTCCGCCTCGAGCACGGACGTTCCGTCGCCGCGAGAGCGCACGACCTGACCCGTCTCCCAGCTCTCACAGGTGTTTTCAGAAAAATTGCGTCGAAGGGACGGGGTTAAAGGGCCCGTTGTACGTGCCCTTATACTTCTTAGTTTACTCTTATGGTCTGGATCCTTGGAAGGCATCTTTGGATCCTAAAATTGAGCTCGCCTCACCTCGTCAAACAAGAGGGTAAGACTAAACGGAGTAATTATGAGGATAAAAAAGGGGCTATTGCCTTCTTGCCCCTATTTTAAACCCCAATTGTGATTTTACCTCATTTTCTTCCGCTTTGTGTTTTACTCTATTTTTTTCCAAAAGCGAAGTTCGGTTTACCCCTACTCAAGTGAAAGCAAACATTTCTATCATTAGATGATAGTTAAAAAGTTGAAAAGATGACAAGTTTGCCCTTCAATATTGCGTTTTTGCCCTATTTCAAACCCCAATTGTGATTTTACCCCACCTTCTTCCACTTTGTGTTTTACCCATACTTTTCCAAAACGAAAATTACGGCTCGTTTACTTCTTAACTCGATTATCTACGTGCGGATCAAAGCAATTAAAAATT